AGATATCTGCCTGCCTTTGAACTTTTGCCTGTCCCACGTTCTGTCTCCTGGATTGCCCCTTTGTGTTTGTTTGTATGTGTGCTCTTAATAAAGCTTGCAAATGGATTCAATGCCTTCTGACTCATCACAACAGAAGACTTCGCCACTACAGAATCCAGCAGCTTTAGCACAAGTCTCGACTGAACTTTCCGCTCAAGCCACTCAGTTAGCCACCCATCATCAACAACTCACCCATCTAACTTCTCTCACGGAGGAACTGGTGAGAGCTATGCAGCAACTCCGTCATCCGAATCCTGCAGTTACCCCGCCTGCTACCATGACAGCTTCTCAACCAACGCATGTCTCCAATGCTCCGGCTACCGTAAGTCCCCGATTAGCTTTTCCTGAAAAGTTTGATGGGTCACCTTCTCGCTGCAAAGGCTTCTTATTGCAATGCAAACTATTTGTTAACCAACAACCTGCATTATATCCCACTGATTCTAGTCGGGTGGCTTTTGTATGCAACCTGTTAACGGGGAAAGCGCTGGAATGGGCTACAGCGATATGGAAGGAGGAGGAATGTAACTATCCCACATTTGAAACTTTTCTCAAGCAATTTCGGGAAGTGTTCGAGCACCCAGCAGATGGGAGAAGCCCCGGTGAGCAGTTACTTTCTCTTACACAGGGGCGTAACACAGCTGCAGAATACGCCCTGTCATTTCGCACTCTCGCCGCTCAAACTAACTGGGTTGAGGATACACTGAAGACACTATTCAGACGGGGTCTGAGTACCAATCTACAATCTGAATTGGCTTGCCGTGACGAAGGAAAGAAATTGAACGAACTCATTGAACTTACCATCCGTCTTGATCATCTGATTCGCAGCCGTAGAAATCCTCGCACACAGCTCCATGTTTCAAGTGACACGCCCCCTGATGAACCCATGCAACTGGGTTTCACCCGTCTCACCCATGAAGAAAGAATGCATCGATTGCAAAATCATCTATGCCTGTACTGTGGTCAATCAGGGCACAGGAAATCCACCTGCAGCGTACGACCTCAGACACCAGTTCAATCGGTGAGTCCTTCCCATGTTCCTGCACTTTTCAGTGTACTGATTCCTGTGATTATTAAATTTGATAAAAGAATGATTAATACTACGGCTCTTGTCGACTCTGGATCTGCCGGAAACTTTATATCTAAGAAATTTGCTTTATGTCACGAACTATCTCTCAGCTCATATGATTCCTGTCTTGCAGTGGAAGCACTAGACGGTCGTCCTGTGGGTGAAGGACGCATCCGTATGATTACGAATAAGCTACAGTTACAAGTTGGTGTTCTACACATTGAAGAAATGCAATTCTACATTATTGATTCAGTTAATCATCCACTGGTGTTGGGACTGCCCTGGTTAAGGCGACATGATCCTCATATCTCCTGGAGGGACGGACAGATATTGCAGTGGAGTGAGTCATGCATGAAACAGTGCATCCAGCCCATTCACAAAATTCCATTACGAACCACCAATGTGTTACCTGAACTCGTTGATGAACTAATCCCCATTGAGTACCATGACTTACATGAAGCTTTTAGCAAACAAAAAGCTACTCAACTTCCCCCACATCGACCAAGTGATTGTGCTATTGAGTTAATTCCAGGTTCAAGTCCTCCAACGGGTCGAATATTCCCTCTGTCACAACCTGAGCACAAGGCAATGTCTGAATATATCGACGAGGAATTGGCCAAGGGTTTCATCCGACCTTCTACATCTCCTGCTTCAGCTGGATTCTTCTTTGTAAAGAAGAAAGATGGCAGTTTACGTCCCTGTATTGATTACCGAGGGCTCAATGAAATCACCGTAAAATTCCGCTATCCTTTACCCCTCGTACCTCCTGCCCTGGAACAATTAAGAAAGGCTAGATATTATACCAAGCTTGATCTTCGCAGTGCATATAACCTTGTCAGAATCCGTGCTGGTGACGAGTGGAAGACCGCGTTTTCCACCACTAGGGGGCACTATGAGTACACGGTAATGCCCTTCGGCCTGTCAAACTGTCCATCCGTGTTCCAATCTTTTATGAACGATGTCTTTCGGGATATGCTGGATCGCTGGGTCATCATTTACATCGACGACATCCTCATATATTCAAACACGATGAAGGAACATGTTGAACATGTACGTATGGTGTTGCAACGCATGATTCAACATCGTCTGTACGCCAAATTAGAGAAGTGTGAATTTCACCAGACACAGATCGCCTTTTTGGGATATGTCATCAGTGCAGAAGGGATTACCATGGATGATACGAAGGTACAGGCAGTTCAACGATGGCCGTTACCCCAGAATCTCAAGGAGTTGCAGCGATTTCTAGGTTTTGCCAACTTCTATAGACGGTTTATCAGAGGCTTTAGTTCAATAGCCGCACCATTAACAGCCATGACCAAACGAAATTCCCACAAACTATCCTGGTCCTCTGAAGCACGCCAAGCATTTAGCGATCTGAAGACTCAATTCACCACAGCTCCTATTCTCCGTCATCCCAACCCAGACCTACCTTTCATTGTGGAAGTGGATGCATCCAACACAGGAGTCGGTGCTGTGTTATCTCAACGTCAGGGTCAACCATCCAAAATGTATCCATGTGCCTTCTTCTCCCGTAAATTGACCAGCGCAGAACGAAACTATGATGTGGGAAATCGCGAATTACTGGCAATGAAATTAGCCCTGGAAGAATGGAGACACTGGCTGGAGGGGGCTAGTCAGCAATTCACCATATTAACTGACCACAAGAATCTGGAATATCTTCGCTCAGCCAAACGTCTAAATCCCAGACAAGCTCGTTGGGCTTTGTTCTTCACCAGATTCGACTTCATTGTCACCTATAGACCAGGGAGTAAAAACAGTAAGGCAGATGCACTATCCAGGCTATCAGAGGATAAAACCCCAATTAGTGATGAAACCATTATTCCTACGAACTTACTAGTGGCTCCAGTACAGTGGGACATACTTACCGAGATCCAAGAGGCCAACCGAGAAAACAACCCTCCAGTAGACTGTCCGAATCACCTGATTTTTGTACCCAATAACATACGTACCAGATTACTGACCCATATTCATGACACTCCCAGTTCGGGGCATCCAGGCATCACTGCAACTTTGGAGTTAGTCAAAGCCCGTTTCTGGTGGCCGTCCCTCACAAAGGATGTAATTAATTATGTTCAGAAATGTAAAATTTGCCAAAGCACGAAGGCATCTCACCAAACCCCTGCTGGCCTGTTACAACCGCTACCGGTTCCGCAACGGCCCTGGTCCCATATAGCGGTGGACTTCATTACGGATCTCCCTGTTTCCCAGAACAACACAGTCATTCTCACGGTGGTTGATCGTTTCTCCAAGGCTTGTCGCCTAATACCGTTGCCCAAATTGCCCTCTGCCTTTGAAACCGCAGAAGCCCTGTGCAATCATGTATTTCGAATGTTTGGCTTACCTGATGATATCGTCTCAGACAGGGGATCCCAATTCACTTCCCGGGTATGGTCCGCTCTCTGTAAAAATCTAAATATTAATGTTAGTCTCACCTCAGGGTACCATCCTCAATCCAACGGCCAAACTGAACGTATGAATCAAGAAGTCATTCGATTTCTACGTTCCTACTGTCATCAGCAACAGCACGACTGGAGTCGCTATCTGATGTGGGCAGAATATGCACAAAATTCATTAATAAAGCCAGCCACGGGTATTACGCCATTCAAATGTATTCTTGGCTACCAACCACCCCTGTTTCCATGGTCCGGAGAACCCACTGAGTTACCTGCTGTCACGGATTGGCTGCAGCGGAGTGAGGATGTCTGGAACCAGGCTCACAGACATCTCATGAGGGCAGTCAGGAGGAGAGAGATTCAGGCGAACCGTCACCGACGCCAGGGACCCACGTATCAACCGGGGCAGTGGGTGTGGTTGTCGACACGAGACCTTCGTCTGAGATTGCCCTGCCGCAAACTCAGTCCCAGGTATGTAGGGCCATTCAAAATTGTACGCCAGATTACTCCAGTGTCTTTTCGCTTAGCCTTGCCTAATCATTATCGTATTTCTCCTACTTTCCACATGTCATTACTCAAACCCGCTGGTGGTCCACGAGAGGAGGCGGCTGAGGAGGAATCGGAAACCAGGACCCCTCCACCTGTCATGATCGAGGGCGAGGAAGCTTACCTCGTTCGAGAAGTGCTGGACTCTCGACGTCGGGGTGGCGCCCTCCAATATCTGGTGGACTGGGAAGGGTACGGTCCAGAGGAACGGTCCTGGGTGAATGCTAGAGATATTCTAGACCCAACTCTCACGGAAGAGTTTCATCAAAGGTTCCCAGAGAAACCAGCCCCCCGACAGCGCGGTAGACCCCGGCGTCAGGTGCCTTCTCGCTTCAGGAGCCGCTCGCAGGAGGGGGGTTCTGTTGTAAATGAGGGCGATGCCAACCCTCTTGTGCACCACCAGAGGGAACCATCGCCAGAATTCTGATTCGACTCACGGACTCAAAATCCCATAAGCCCTGCTACCTGGCACTGATTACGGTCCAGGTGCAACTCATCAGCTCTCGTGTATATATACCGCACTCACGCTCCGGTTCGTTGCGAAGTCTTGATTTGCCTGGCTGTCATTTCTGAGCGTTCCATACTCCCTGCTTCGGACTGATCTGTGTTTCTGACCCTGTGCTTGTTCTACGATTACGAAAGACATCTGCCTGCCCCTGATCTCCAGCCTGTTATTCTGACCAGTAAGATATCTGCCTGCCTTTGAACTTTTGCCTGTCCCACGTTCTGTCTCCTGGATTGCCCCTTTGTGTTTGTTTGTATGTGTGCTCTTAATAAAGCTTGCAAATGGATTCAATGCCTTCTGACTCATCACAACAGAAATAGAGTCCAGGTGAATAGCAGAGGTAAAAGATGAAGTGCCTTTTAGTAGAGATAGCTCCAGCTAGTGATAATGACAATAAGTAAAAGTTAATTATCAAGGAAGAGAGGGTCACCTGAGGAATATTCCTTTGATGTTGGGTGTGTTGAGGAAGGCTGTTTCTGAAATAGAGTTGATTCTGTTGTTCTGCAGGTGAAGGAACTCAAGAGACTCGGGTAGGTCAGGGGGAATGTGAGACAGCATGTTACCAGAGAGATCCAGTGTCTGAAACACACATCAATTTTAATAACTCTCTTTCTACCAACTAACCACCATCTTTGTGAGTCTAACGTAAGTATTTTAAATAATGTGGGGACCCCAGAAACACTAGAAATGTCTCAGGGTATAGCTAATGGGTATCCAAATAAAAAAAGAGTCTTTGTGAGTCTTTAGAGTAATTTTTAGTTTTTAACAACTGAATCAGGTAAAATTGCTGAATTTCGTACCTTGAGGGCATTCATTTCTAGCCACGCACCCTGGTAGATGGAGCTGAGCTTGAGCTGGTTGTTGGTCAGGTAGAGCTCCCTCAGCGAGGTCATTCCCAGCAGAGCCCCTTCTGGTATCTCTGTCATCTGGTTGTCCTTTACCTTCAGGATTTGGAGACTTTTGGGAAGACCCAGTGGCAGTGCCTGCAACTTGTTTCCTGACAGATCCAGGGTCTCCAGGATTCTGAGTTTCCTGAAGGCCTCTCGGTGGAGCTTGGCGCTTGTGAGGCGGTTGTAACTGAGGTTGAGCTCTGTGAGGGTGTAAAGTGTGATCAGATCGTTGCGTCCAATCTCACTGATGAGGTTATGGAGCAGCATGAGGGTTTTTGCTCGACGAGGAAGGCCGCGGGGAACTCGCTCGAGAAGGTTGTTGTACATGTGGACGGTGTGGAGGCGTTTCAGACCCTGGAAGGCAGCTGGATGGATGGAGCGGGAACGGAGGCGGTTGTTGTGGAGGAGTAAGTACTCCAGGTTTCGAATGGGTGACAGAGCATTTACTGCAATGCTCTGGATTGAATTCTTCTCTAGGTGAAGCAGGATAACATTTCGGGGAAGCCCGAGGGGAACTGTGGACAAGTTGTTATTGGACAAATCCAGATATTCCAGACTGTTCAAATGGCTGATGAGAGAAGGCATTAACAGTATTTTACCATTAAAAGTTTGGTTCACCTCAATAATTTAAATTTGAATGTTATTATTTTAAACCTATCCCCTGAAACCTTCATGCATCTTCAGAACACAAACTAAGATATTTTAGATAAAATCCAAGAGCTCGCTCATGCTTCATAGATAGCATGGGTCCCAATATGTTCAAGATTCCTGAAAAGGAAGCAGTAATATTGTCAAAACAGTTCATGTGACTTCAGCGGTTAAAATCAAGCACAACAATAGGTCTGTTAGACAATGTAGACAAGTGCTGCCATTATCCACTATACCACTACCTGCTCCAACCACCGTCATTCATCTACGGCATCACACGGCATACAGCCATATAATATACATGTGCACCTCTGGCTATCATCTCCTCTCATTTTAAACTACCAAGTCCTCAAATTCTATCATCACAGACCCAGAAGGACCCAGGGAGAAAGACAGAGATTCTACACAGAAAATTACAGCAAAACCATCTTTGGATCTATCACTAAGTCTTTAAAATACAACCTAATGTCTAATCCTTATCAATAAATATGCCCTAACTTGCCAAAGTGGTCCTGTCTCAACTCTAATCCTAAGAAGCCCCATGAACCTTTTTATGAACCAAAAAAACTGCAAACATGACAGTTGCAGAGAGCTAGCTGCCGGCAAAATATCTTAATTAGTGTTTCGATGATGAATAAAAGTTTCAGGGGACTGGAACAACATCAGGGTGAGTGGTAATAACAGAATTGTATTTTTCTGTGAACTGAACCTTTGAAATTACAACACTTTATTTAAGTAAAAAAATAAGAATGAATTGAGTTATGCTAACCTAAAGGTCTCGTTGTCCATGCCATCATTACTCAGGAAGTTGTTTTGCAGGTAAAGTTCTCGAAGATGGAATAAATTATCAAATGCCCCTGAGGGAATCTTCTCCAGCTTGTTGTTCTGCAAACAAACAAAAGTCATTTGCATTATGCAGTAATAACATTACATCTAATAAAGCATGCCTTTATAGTTTCTTTTTTCCTGGTGAACACAAAATAAGCTATTTTTTAAATAAATCTATAAACCCAAAACCATTGAATTCCATTGTATTTGTATTAGATGGTGTCGATGTTTTCGATGTACATCACTTCAAAAGCAACCAGCAAAAATAATCCAAGGTAAAAATGAATTTTTCAGGGGAACAGCCTGGTGGATAATCTCCATAGCGAAGTACTTACAATAACTACATGGTGCGAAATCATCTACTTGCTTTTAAATGAACTCCCGATTTAATGAGCTGGCTGGTAGTCATACCTTCAGATGTAGGCGGTAGAGGGCAGTGGGCAGATACTTTGGGACATAACGGAGAAAATTACTGGACATAATGAGGATCTCAAGGCTGTCTGATCCATTAAACATGCTCTCTGGCAGACCGGCATCCGTTAGCTTGTTGTTATGGAGATACACTGACCTGAAGCACAGCAGAGAGACCATTAACACTTACTGTAGACACAAAGCAGCACATAAAGCATGTGGAAAAAAATGCCGTACACTTACTTTAGTGCAGGCTTCTGGCCAAACGTGTTGGGGAAGATTTTGGTGAGCTGGTTAGCGGCAAAATCTGCGCTGACCAAAGATGGAGGAAGGTGTCTGGGAGCTGCGGTGAGCTGAGAACAACATTAAATAATAACAAGTTGAAAATTATCACATATTGTCAGTGCAATGGCATATAATCATTCAATTTCTTTCAGCTTAGTCCCTTATTTATCAGAGGTCGTCACAGCGGAATGAACCGCCATCTATTCTAGCACATGTTTTACACTCTGTATCTGCGCAACCCTGTAATGACAAACATCCATACACACTCAAACACACACACTCATACACTTAGGCCGTTTTAGTTTATTCAATTCACCTATAGCGCATGTCTTTGGGCTGTGGGGGAAACCAGAGCACTCAGAGGAAAACTATGCCAGTGTTACAGAGGCCAGCTAGTGTGTGCTGTGCAGGTAAACCTCTCTCCTCTGACCTCTAAAGGTGCTCTAGCTACAGACGCTAGGGGCCATGGTCTTTAGCCTCCTTGTTAGAGCAACCGACTCCCATGCGGAAGGTCGCCAGTTCGAAACCAGCTCGGAGAGGGTTGGGTGGTGTGGGACCGAATGGGGTTACATTGGTGCCGTGACCCGGATGGGAGTGAGGTTTAGGGGGGTGAGTGTAACGGAGGCCAGCTAGTGTGTGCTGTGCAGGTAAACCACACTCCGCTGACCTCTAAAGGTGCTCTAGCGACAGACGCTAGGAACCATGGTCTTTAGCCTTCTTGTTAGAGCAACCGACTCCCATGCGGAAGGTCGCCGGCTCGATCCTAGCTCGGAGCAGATTGGGCGGCGTAGGACCGGCAGGGTTACACCAACACAGGGAGAATATGCAAAGTGCTACAGTGCTAACCACTGAGAAACCATGTTGCTGAGCACCAACATATTGACCTTATTCTGCGATGTGGAAGTGCGCTCAATTCAGTCGCCTATGGGAGAAATTACCAGGGATGATAAACGGCAGAAAATGGTCATACTACTTGCTCTCCAAACAAGAGTGTTCATGGCTATATGTAAAAAGTTGAATGATAATAATAATATCAGTTTGCATCAAACAGCAAAACAAGCTTTTTTAATGTCTAGAAATCAATAGAAGTGACTGAGTGTTGAACCAAAAAGATTCCAATGGCTGCAGCCACTTTTACGTGAAGAATAAGGTCAATAGCACAAATGTATAAAGTTATAGGGGCCTATCATACACCCGGCACAATAAGAAACAAGACGAATTTCCAAAACGTGTTGCTATTCATATCAACGCAACCTTAATTTTCCCATCTTCCGCCATGTTGTTTAAATAGCAAATACATTTGCGCCACTTTGTGGACTAATGAGTGTTCTGGTCTAGAAAAGAGGTTTGTTAAGGCGGAATGTTGATGCATTGCTATTTTGAGGAACTAAAATAGACTGAGAGCAGGTCTAAAGTCCAGCGCAGATCACGTTAGTTGTGCACCTTGCTTAAAAATTGCTTAATACTGTCAAGATTGTGGTTGGGGAAAAAGAAGTGAGGACCCAAGTGCAGAGTAAATAAGTATTTATTTATAGTAATATAAAATAAAAGACAAAATAAACAACCCAGAGGGGGAAAACACTAATAAAACAAATAAACAATCCAAACAAACTAAGACGGAAAGACTGGCAGGGATCAGTTCTGGAACAAGGCAACATACAACAAGACAAGGCTACATACGATGACGAACGGGCACAGGACAGCAGACATGAGGAGATTATAAGCAGAAATAAAATAACACACAGGTGAACAAATAGATGTTAAACATGTGAATCTAATAAACTAATTATGGGTTAACAAAGAGGGTGGGCCTAGACAATAGCAGGAGAGAGCACATGACACAAAGAGAGAACACAAGCCAAGCGCTCACATAAAACAAGACTAGAACATGCAGCCAATGAGAGAACTCATTAACCGCGCGTTCATGACAACACAAGCACGCAGTGCATGTAAACCTACACCACGTGTTAAACACAACACCAACAGAAGGCTGAACGTGAGAAACGAGTACACGATGAATGAAAACACTCGGCATGCACTCACACACGCAGCGTACATGTTTCATCCCAGCGCCAACCGAAACCGAAACCAACTAGACTGAGATGCTGGGAATTATACACCATGCTGCAGACAGACGAACGTGAACACCCAGAGGAGAGCACGCAATTGCAAACACGCAGAGACATCACGCACCCGCTTCAAGCGGGAACGCAAACGGTCCAAGCGCGTTCACAAATGACAGAAACAGGGCAAGACAGAGCTAGTGTCCGGACTCTGCCACCAAAACAAGAATTTACAAGACCACAGTGTCAGTGTGCTGGAAATTAGAACTGAATTTAGAAATAGTTTTGAAACAAATCTTTGCACATCACAAACACATTTAATTAAGTAGGGTAAGGGATGTCTTTAGTGGAGTGTGTACAACACGTTTCCCTATCTGCCAAAGAGAGAAAGTAAAAGTAAAGGCCAAACAGAGGTGGCTCATTCTTTATCCTCGCGCTGCATATGCTCTGTTTTAACTGTTTTCTTGCTAGTGAAGTGTTCAGTTTTTCCACTTATAAAATCCGCCATGTAAATAGCAAATGTGCCATGGAGCGACGCAACTGACTCTTAAAGAAATGAGACTCTGATTGGTTTATGCTCAAAACACACCCATAACTCATTAAGAGAATGAGCTCAGCCCTGTTAGACCATGCTCCGTGGCTCAAAGCATATTTTTCCATTCTTAAAATAGCAAAAGTGGATTTGGACACGCCCTTAATGCTTTTGCACCCTGCGCTTTAGACTTTGCGCCTAGATCGTTAAAACAGAGCCCATAGAGTTGGAATCCTGGTTCATGGACTTTTCTGTCATTCTGCTGTCCTCTCAAAGAAATTAAGTAAACGAATCATTAAATTTAATAATAAAACAAATTAAATAAGTTAAATATTTGAGCAAAATAAATAATGATAAGGGAATGCATTGGTTATTTATAGAGATAGTTACCAAATAAATGTTAACATTATGTGGTCAGACATTAAAAGTCAGTAAAATATAAAAAAAATATATTATTATTAATATTAAAATTATAATAATTGAATAATTTTTTTAATTGAATGAATGAATAAACGATTAAATAAATAGTCTGGTTGATACAATAATGGTTATTCATTTAAGTGGTTGTCCATCCAGCTACAACCTAGTACTGGGAAATATCTATACGCACTCATTCACACACACACTCATACACTCCGGCCAATTTAGTTTATTCAATTCACCTATAGCGCATGTGTTTAGACTGTGAGAGAAACCGGAGCACCCGGAGGAATCCCACACCAACACAGGGAGAACATGCAAACTCCACACAGAAATGCCAACTGAACCAGCTGGCACTCGAACCAGTGACCTTCTTGCTGTGAGGTGACAGTCCAAACCACTGAGCCACCGTGTCACTCATATTATATGGTATTTGTTTTTAAAAAAAATTGTTTATTTATTTAATAAAACAATTTTATTAGTTCCCCCTAAATATGTTTTGTATTTTACAGTATTTCCACTGAAATTTTAACGACAAAAATTCTAGCACGCACACACACACACACACACACACACACACACAAACACACACACACATACAAACACAAAAACCTCACAGTGAGATAGATTGCTTAGGAAATGTAGGAAATCCAAGTAAATTAAGGCCTTTGAGTTTCAATTTTCTGTGCTTTTTCATTATTATATGAGACTCCATACTACGTTTCAGCTCTAACATATTCGAGGACAATAATGTTATCCTCGCCAAAAAGGTTATATTTATGTTATAGCAACATGTTTAATAGACTAGAGTCAGTAAAATATATATATATATATATATATATATATATATATATATATATATATATATATATATATATATATATATAATTTCTCTTTCTGTGCCTTGCTCAAGGCCTCTGGGGTTTATATGAGACTGGAAAGGCCATCCAGAGATCTTTCAGAGCGCTAAAGTGTGAAGTGAACAGAATGAAAAGAGATGATATGAGCAGAGAGGTGACAAAATATCGACTCCACACACTTTGATGATTTCCAGACTGCAAGGTCACACTGTTATCGGTGTTTTCCCTCATTTGAGGCCATTAAAGGGACAGCAATTGAGCTTTAAGTATTGTTTTATTTATATTCGACTTCTGTAGTATTGAAGAAAAATACTATTACAGTTGTTGCTTTTTTTCATTTTATTCATGGCCTAGAAACAGAGGGATTGAATTGAACGCTGAAAAACATGTCTACTTTAATGTTGTATACACTGAAATAAAATGAGTGATGATCTAAGCACAAAATCTAAAGCACAGTGCGCAAAAGCATTAAGAATGTGTCCGAATCCACTTTTGCTATATTAAGGGCGGAAAAATACGCTCTGCACCCGACGCATGGTCTAACAGGGTTGTGCTTATTCTTTTAATGAGTTATGGGTGTGTTTTGAGCATAACATGCATTAAAGCAATCAGAGTCTCATCTCCCATTCCCTTTAGGAGTCAGTTGTGACAATAATAATGAAGTTCTATCCAAACAAACGTCCTACTCTTATGTCCCATATGGTGATGCAGACGTCTCCAATACCCGAAAGGTGAACAAATCTAAACTTGATTTTTGTTAAAACAATTATAAATAAGCATATAATAAATAAATAATGGTATCACGGTGGCGCAGTGGGTAGCACAACCACCTCACAGCATGAAGTCAGTCAAGTCGGTCAGTTGGCATTTCTGTGTGGAGTTTGCATGATCTCCCCGTGTATTTTCCCCGTTGTCTACATTTATTTAAAGGTTAATAATAGTGCACTTGGTTTAATGACTGTCATTTAACGGCAACTCAGTTCCAGCTACAGCAGTTTTCACTCAAGAAGTGCTTTGAGTTACTGCTTAGAAAACAAAATGTTTTACAATGGACGTGATGTACCCTACTGTATACACAGGCCCGTAGCCAGTCTGGTGAATGGAGGGGTTCTTTTTTTTCAACAATTGGATTTTTTTGCAGTTATTCACCTAATAATAATTTTAATAGTAATAATAATAATAGTATAAGTAAT